GCCCCGGGCCCGGGCCCGTGCGGCGCGGGGGGAGCGCAGAGGCCCGGCCGGCGGCCGCCTGCAGGACGCGGGGGACCCGGGCAGGCGGGGCGGCGTGGGCGGACGGGCGCGCCGTGCCCCCTCGCCTCGCCAGGGTTGCTGCGAGCGCGGGAGGCCGGGTGCTCACGACACGGCCTCCCCCGCCAGGGAGCCTGCCCAAGACGGCACGCCGCGCCACGACTCCCCCGGGTAAAATAACGCGCGGTGCCCCGGCTCCATTGCGCGAACTGGCCCTTCTGGGGCTGCTTAGTGCGGAGGAAGGACAAGACGGAGTTGCCCAAGGGAGTGGAGCGGGAAACGTGAGAGCGAACCGAAGAGGAAATCCTATTAAGGCGATCAGAGGGAGATTCTGGGCAGGTAAAGGGAAGGGCTTCTCCGCGTGGGACGTGCTCTGCGGAATGCTTCTCCGCGAGCTACTTTGATGGCTGCCAGTTGGATGGCTTTGAAAGGAGATCGGAACAATTCCTGGAGGACAAGGTTATCTGTGGCTGCTAGATGGCGAGCCTGCTGCATTCCTGCCTGGCCCGGGGGGCCCCATTGGCTGAGAAAGGGGGCATTTTGCAAAGCGGATGTTACCTGAGTGCCACTTCGGGGACATTTTTGCTGTAAACTCAGAGAGGGTGCCGAGGCTGGCCACGGTGGAGCTCCGTCTTCAGAGGGAGGGTGCCACTCGGGACAGGGTCCCGCCCTGCCTGCAGGCCATTCTTCAGGGTCTTCTGGGGGCACCAGGTGCAGAAGCCAGCATGAGCAGGGCCCAGGCGCGTCCCGGAGGCTCCCTGAAGCGAGTCTGAGGCACTCAGGCCTGTAACAGGGACAGAGGACAACATTCTTGGCCTCGTTGACAGGTCTGCGTAGCACTCCTGTTAGCATCTAAAGGATTCAATGGTGAAGTTACGAAGGTATGAAACGTGTCCCTGAGGACTGGAAAATGGCCGGGGCAGCCCAAGGGATCCAGCTGGGATCTGAGGAATTGCAGCCAGTTACCAGTTCTGGGGAACTTGAATGTAAGAATATTGACAGAAAGCACCCAAGGAAAGCCCTGCTGGAACCGACCGTCCAGTCCAGCGCTCCGTACACCTGGGGGCAAGCCAGCTGCCCACGGGAACCCCCCAGCAGGATGGGTGCAAGGCCTTCAGCTGCTCAGCACCTGGTGCATGCAGCCGTGCCGCCTCTGGTGAGGGCGGTAGCACATAGCCAGCATGGCCGGTGGCCACCGGTAGCCTCCTCCGCAGCCCCCTTTTAAAGCCCCCCGCTTTGGCGGCCATCACCAGCTACAGCAGAGGCCAGTTCCACGTGTGTGAAGGACCGCCTTGCATCTGTCCTAAGCCGAAGCCTCATGGGACGAGCCCTTTGGGCTCGATGTTATGAGAGAGGGAGGAAGATGCGTTGCTGCACACCGTGCGTTATTTTAAGCATCTCAGTCGTGCTTCCCCTTCCCCACCTTTTTCCAAGCTGAGCTCAAGGGAGCTGCTGCAGCCCCTCGGCCATTTTGATGGCCGCCTCTGCTCCGCTGCCTCGCCAGGCATATCGTTTTCCTGGTAAGGTGACCGGAGCAGTGGCAGTGCTCTCACTGTGGCCGCTCCAAGGCTTGCATGAAGGGAGGACGTCCTTGGCAGTCCTGTTTCCTGTCCTGCTCGTGCTTAGCACGGCTTTTGCCGTTTTCTACACTGGGTGCACATTTCCCTTGAGCTCCCCCCGCCCCGTCACTGCTGGCTCAGCTTCCGTCCGCTCGTACGTGAAGGTGGGCCGTTCACGGTGGGCCGAACCTGCCCTACTGCACTCGCCCAACTTGAACTGCATTTGCCATTCTGCCAGCCTGGAGAGATGCCTTTGGAGCCCCCAGAATCCTTTTCTGTTTTAGCCAAGTGAAGGAACTGGGTGTCATCAGCCGGCGTGGCCCCTTCCCTGCTCAACTCCCCATTCCAAATAATTCTTGAAGAGACTGGGAAGCATTTCTCCCACTACAGCACCTGCAAAACCAGCTGGTTGCAACCTGCCACTGAGACTCTCCGTCTTTTGCTCTCCAACCTGCTCCTGATCCATAGGAGGACCCCCCCCAACACGCTTTACTCCATGGCTGCGTTAGAGTCTTTGGTGAGGGGCTTTGTCGAAAACCTTTGGGAAGTCCACGTAAACAGTCTGCCAAGCCACTCTTCCCATCAGCTCATTTATACTCTGAAAAGACCCTGATGGGTGAGTGAGGGGGGCTGCCCTGGTGCCTTCCCTCTCGGCCGGCTTGTCCCCCTCTGCGCTTCCTTGTCCTTCAACCAAGAAAAAGGAGCAGGACAGGAAGGGCTTCTCTCATATGATTCTTTGGTGTGACCACATGTAGAATATTTTGTACGCTTCTGGTCACCACACTGAAAAGGGGCATTATTGAGTTGCAAAAGCTGCAGAAAAGGGCAACTGCAAGGTTGAAGGGGGGGCCCCTCAGGGAGGAGGAAGCTGCCTGGAGCCGCCCATTCCGCTTGCACGGCATGCCAGATGCAGGCCAAGCAGCAGCCACCCCCGTGGGGCGCCCTCCAGGCCCCCTGCTCTTCGTGTGGCTGTCGGCCTGCCACGCAGCCCCTGCATCTTCCTCCGCCGGCTGGCCGCAGACCTCCATGGCCCCGGACGGTCTCCATGAGCTCTGGCAAGGACGGGCAGGTCATGCCTCTAGTGATGGCGAACCTTTTAGAGACGGAGTGCCCAAACTGCAACCCAAAACACACTTATTTATCACCAAGTGCCAGCACTGCTATGAAACCTGAAAACTGAGGGTTTCGTTTAGAAAAAGTAACTCACAGCCAGTCTAAGCAAATATATCTATATCCGTGGCAGCCACTGACCGGCCATGTGCGAGCTCGGGCGAGTCGTGGCTAAGGAGTTGCGGATAGTGACCGCATGACCTGGCGCCGCTACTCCTTTCCGAGCAGGCGCATGGCCCCTATGTGCTGTTACCTGATGCTCAGCTGCTGGGGCGATGCTGGGGCGACTTGGCTCACGTGCTGACAGAGAGGGCTCTGCGTGCCTGCTGTGGCACACGTGCCATAGGTTCGCCACCATTGGCTTAACCCTACGCTGGTGCACACCCCTAATCCTAATATAGAGATAAAATACCACTGAAAAGAGTGCAATTTTGAAAAGGCTTGAGTAGCTTTTTCTGCCCAGCTCATCATTTCTGCCCCTTCTGAACACATTCCAACCATCAAAATCATGTCAGGACACCTTGTTTTTCTAACCCTAACCCTACCCAGGTGCACACCCCTAACTCTAATACAGGGCTAAAGTTCATTTGAAAATAATGCGATTTTGGAAAAGCCTCCCTTGAGTAGCTTTTTCTGCACAGCTCATCATTTCTGCCCATTCTAACTGCATCCCAACCATCAAAATCATGCCAGGGCACCTCGTTTTTCTAAGCCTAACCCAGTGATGGCGAACCTTTTAGAGACCGAGTGCCCAAACTGCAACCCAAAGCCCACTTATTTATCGTAAAGTGCCAATGCTGCAATAAAACCTGAACGCTGAGGTTTTAGTTTAGAAAAAACAACTCACAGCCTGTCCAAGCAAATCCTTGGCAGCACACTGACCGGCCACGCGAAAGCTCGGCCAAGTTGTGGCTGGTGAGTTCGTGCCGTCATCGCCTGGCGCCACTACCCCTTTCCGAGCATGCGCATGGCTCCTGTGTGCGCTGTTATCTGATGCTCGGCTGCTGGGGCGACTTGGCTTGTGTGGTGACAGAGAAGGCTCTGCTTGCCTGTGGTGGCACTGTGTGCCATAGGTTTGCCACCGCTGCTTTAGGCCCTGGGTCCTCAAACTATGGCCTGCGGGCCAGATCCGGCCCGCCTGAGCGGTCTTGGACTTGCTGCCCCCACATCCACATCGCTCTGCACGCGCCCGCCACCTCCTCGCCATGCGTGTGGGGAGGCGGCGGCTTGCTTGCGCGGAGATCGTTTAGGATTCGCTCGGAGAAAACGATCTCCGACGCCCCTGCCTCGCCGCACACGCGCATGTGTGCTCCCGCTCGCGCCCCCACCCCCTCGCCGGCCCGTGCCCACCACCAGCACCTTTCCACTGGCCCCCTGTTGAAAAAGTTTGAGGACCCCCTGTTCCAGGGCTCTGGACTGCTGGGAAAGAAGTCCCCCATGGGGCAGGAGCTTCCCCAAGACGGAGCTGCAGGCACGGTGGGGGTCTGCCTGGCCAAGCGCAGGCACGCCAGCCGCTCTCTGGCATGCCGGCCCTTGGAGGAGTGCTGCCCATTCGGCAGGCCAGGAGCCGGGCCCTCCCGGTCGCGGCGGCTGCCGGGGCAGTGCCATGTGCTTCTGGCCAGGCGCCACGGCAGCCCTGGCTTCTCCTGTTGGGAGCAGCCCAGGCCGCCCGGGGCCGCCCTGCGAGCACAGTCAGGGGAGGCTTCTCACTGTTCCCTCAGACCCCACATTGGCGACCACCATGGGCCGGTGGTCTTGGCCACTTAGGTGGTCTGTGGCCCCTCGTGCTGGGTGGGAGCTCCTTGGGCTCTGCTGTTCGGGTCACCTTCAACACAATCCAGGAAGTTTACTTGGGACGTAGTGTTGTTGTTCTCTAACCCTAACCCCCCACCCCCCCCAGTGAAATGCTCGCCTGGGCGAGTGCTCAGATCCACTGCCAGTTCCATGCCAGCGAGAGCCGTGTGGCCCTGCCCCCCCCGGAGGACAGCCGGCACGACGTCCAGGCCGAGAACGAGACCGTCTTCGTCCCCAACAGAGGTGAGCTGCCGGCTTGGCTGGGACAGGCGTGGGGGGCTGCGGCCAGCAGGCGGGGCGAACCCCGGCCCGGTCACCCGGCAGGGCATCCTGGCGCCAGCCAGAGGGGCACCTCGGATGGGGGGCCGCAGGGAGGGGCGCCCCCGCACGGACCCCAGCCAGCAGCGTTTCTTCCCTGCAGGCGAGCGGGGCCAGTGCGTCCTGTCCACGCCCCCGAAGATCCTGTTCTGCGACCTGCGTCTGGATCCTGGCGAGTCCCGAACCTGTGAGCAGCGCCTGCTCCCGGCCCCGTGCCAGAGCGGGGAGGGCTGGGGTCCCGGGGGGGGCCGCAGCGCCCCTCGTCTCCACGCCGGCCCGGCCTCACGGGAGGGCCAGTGCTGCCGCCGGCACGGATGGAGCACCGCTGGGCACCCGGCACCGGCGTGAGATGCACCCAGGCAAGGGGGAGGCACGCGGGCCTCTCCGCCCTCCTGGCGTGTGGGGCTGGGCAGGCATGTCTTTGTGGCTCACCCCCATTGCGCTGGGGAGGCCTTGGCGCCTTCCTCCAATCACAGCCCCCGAGTAGCCAAGCCCTGTGCCGTGCCGTGCCGTGCCGTGCCGTGGGCTCCTGGTGGCCGGCCCGCTCACGCGCCCCCCTTTCCAGACTCCTACTGCGAGGTGCTGCCGGTGGACGGGCCGCCCTCCTTCCGCGGGCAGGCGGTCAAGTACGTGTACAAGCTGACCATCGGCTGCCAGCGGGTGAACTCGCCCATCAAGCTGCTGCGGGTGCCCTTCCGCGTGCTGGTGCTGCACGGTAAGCGCGCCGCTGCCTGGGGTGGCTTCCCCGGCCGCTGCCCGCAGGCCTCTCACAGGCGCCCCCTCTCCCGCCAGGCCTGAAGGACTACCAGCTGCCCCAGGACGAAGCTGTGGCTCCCTCGAACCCCTTCCTGGAGGAGGAGGAGGGCGGCTGCCTGAAGAAGGACTCCCGGCTGGCGGACCTGGCCACGGAGCTGCTGATGGCGGCCACGTCCCGACGGAGTCTGCGTAGGTCCCCGGCCAGGCCGCCCCCGCGCACGGCCCGCCTCCCACCCCCGGCGGAGGCGGCCCTGGCCCCCCGCCATGGCCCTGGGGCCCTGCTGTTGCCCCCCGAAGCATTTCCCGCGCGGCGCCCAGCTAAGGGGGCCCCCCTCCTCCCTGGCTCCCAGCGCTGCTCTTCCACCTTCATGGAGGGGCTCCGCGCGGGGGTGCGTAGCTCGGGCTCCTGGGGGTTGCTTGGCTCCACTGGCCCCTCGGGGCACGTGCTTCCCGTCACCTTTGGACCGAGGCTCCGAGTGGGCGTGCCGAACGGACCCAGTCCTCCTGAGCGCATGGCCTGGTGTGTCTGTCGCCCACTGAGCGAGATGCCTCTTCTGCTCCCAGACTTGTACAATATCAGCAACTCCCGCGGCAAGGTTGGCACCTTTTGCATCTTCAAGGCAGTCTACAAGCTGGGCGAGGATGTCGTGGGGACGTTCAACTTCTCCGAGGGAGACATCCCGTGCCTGCAGGTGAGGCAGGCTCTCGCCCCGCCGCCGGGCTGCAGCCGGGAGCCGAGCGGGCCCACGGCTCGGCGGAGGGAGGGGCGGGACTGACCCTGCCTCGCGTGGGCCTCGCTCGCGCTCCCTTCCAGTACCTGGTGAGCCTTCAGACGGAGGAGCGCGTCCAGGAGGCGTTCCAGCGCCGGCGTGGGCAGCTGGCCACCTACAGCACGCATGCGCGGCACCAGGAGGCCTGCCTGCACACCGCCCAGTCCAGCTTCAGCCTGCCCATCCCGCTGGGTTCCACCCCGGGGTTCAGCACCAGCATCGGTGAGTCCTGCCCAGCTCGCGCGGCAGCTCCGTGGGGGGCTGGGGCGGCCAGCGGGGACCCCTCCCCTGCCTCGTATTCCCCAAGAGCCTACACTGGGTGCCACGTGGTGCCACCCCGGCAGCCGTGGAGGGAGCACCTGCCTGTCCAGGCCGAGGCACAGGTGGGCCGGCCCGGCTTCACGCAACGGAGCTCGGCGGACGTGGCCCTCCATCTTCGGCTGGCACGCAGAAGTTTGGCCCCTCTCTGGGGTGAGCAGGTGCACGGGTCCTGCTGTCCCGGGGGCCCCGCTGCTCCTGCCGCCCGGCTGGCCAGGGTGGCTCTCGCGCCTTGCACCCAGAGCTCCTGCTGGGTCCCGACCCCGGAGAGCATGCTCTTCCGCGAAGGCAAGCAGGCGCCTGCCTCCCCGTCATCTCCCAGCGTTCCTGAGGAGGAGGGCCCTGAGGGCCAGGCCCAGGAGGCCTCTGCACTCTCCTGCGACTCCGGGTGCCCCGTCCACCCGAGAGCTCCACGGGAAAGCGGTGCAGCCAGCCTGCCCTCTCCTGGCTCCCTCTGTGCTCTGCTCTCAGTCTTTCCCTGCCTTTCCCCCTCTGCACAAAGCAGGGGGCCGCCGCTCGCGGGTCCTCGGCACGCGTGGCTTCGCAGCTGCTCGCCAGTCCCCCTCTTGCAAGCCTCCAGTGGCGCGGCTGAGGCCGGGCTTTGGGGCGGAGGTCCAGGCTCCAGAGGCGGCCTCCCCCGCACTCCATCCCCTCTGTCCCCCCCCGGACATGCCGCTGCCCCCTTCCCCTCGCCATGTGCTCCTCGGCCAGCAGCACTGCAGCGTTCTCCTCCTTTTCCTTCCATTTTTTGCATGGCCCGGGCACCTGCAGAGAAAGCGCCCGGCATCGGAGAGGTCAGTTTCTTCTCATGCCTCCTGGAGGGCCGTGTGGCTTCAGGGGCCCTTGAAGGACCTCGCCGTGCCGGGTTTGCTCTGCTGCTGCTCGGTCTTCTAACGGTTAAGCGAGAAGGGAGGGAACGGGGCCAGTGCCAGCTGGAAACTTGGGGCGGTGGGATAGAGAGCGCAGGAGGCATCAGGGAGACGGTGGGAGGAGAGAGAGATCAGCTGCTGAGGTCCCTGACCTGCTCCCCACTGGGGACTGGAGAACAGAACGGCGATCTCGGGGAGCCTCTGGCGGCGTCTTTCTGCAGCCCAGAGGTGCTGGCAGAGCTCTGCCGATGTGGCCGCACAGGTGGCTGCCTGCGTGTGTTCGCACCGGCGTAATGCACATGATCGCGCCAACGTGCCTGTCGCTGGAGTCCCCTCGCACGCATGGCTCAGAAGTGGGTTTTGGCTTGCGCCCAGTGGCACCGCCGCATCCTGCTGTTTGAGAGTCTTCCCAGTAAGACGGGCCGCAGAAGAACCAGGCCTCCTTCGCGAAATTCCGTCCTCGGGCGAAGGAGTTGGCAGCGGGCGTGGGCAGGTGGTTCAGTGCCCGAACGGGCTGGAGCCGTGGCCCCCGCACCTTGGAGGAGGTGGCATGAAGCTCCGGGTGACCAGGGCAGCGGGAAGGGCGGCTCCCTGCGGAGACGGGGGCCTGGTGTGGCATCGGGTCACGGCGGTGCCACCACGCGGAAGACAGCCGGGTGCTCCCAGTAAGGGGGCACAGGGGCCGGGGGGCCTTGGCGCACTCACCTGCAGGGCGGGGGCTTGCCAAGGCCCCTGTGGAAGTCTCGTGGGACCCTTGGCGAGGGCTCCAAATCGGCCTTGCCACTGCGGGCGTCGGCGGCCCCGGTGCCGGGGGCTGCCCCGGAGCAGGCCCCGCACTGCCCCCTCCCTGAGCGCCTCCCCCTACCCCCAGTGTCCCTGAGGTGGCGGCTGCACTTTGAGTTCGTGACCTCCCGAGATGCAGCGGAGATGCAGGTGGCCTCCGAGGGCGCGTCAGAAGCCGCCATCTGGACCGGGCGTGAGCAGATGGCCGTGGACACCTTCAGCTGGGACCTGCCGCTCAAGGTGCTGCCCGCCAGCCCCCTCCTGGCCGCCTCGGCCTCCCGCTTTCCCGGCTCCAACTCGCTCGCCATCTGAGTGCGACGGGCCCGCTGCTCTGGACGCTCCGCGTGGGGCCTGCACGATCTTCGGAGCGTGTGGCGGGGCGCTCCCGGACATGGCGTGCTGCAGGGGGGCAGTGGGCTGCCCTGAGACCCCTCCTGCCTGCATCTCCACGGGGGGAGCTCAGCGTGCCTCAGCAGCCATCCCTGGGGCGGGGGGCCCGTCTCCCACCCCGTCCAGCATGTCCACCTCTGCCTTGGAGAGCCCCCCGTAGCCTCGCCGGCCCCCAGCCGTGCCTCCAGGGCTTCCGCGCAGAGGGCAGAGAGGGGGCCCCGTCCCGGGGAGCTGGGGTGCGCCTGCCCTGGGGCTGGAGGACTCCGAGGTGGGCTTTGGGCTGCCCTCCCCCGCCCCCCACCCTGCATTTTGTGTCTGTCAATAAAAGCAGGGCACCGGCGCTCGTGTGCTCCTTCATGGGCCTCGGGGGGATCTGCGGTCCCGGGAGGGGGAAGGGGGCCCTCCCGTGTCGGGGCTGCTGCAGCCGGGGCTCAGCAGGGCTTTCCCTGCCCCCTCCCAGCAGGGCCCCCCCACAGTCCATGTGCTCCTCAGGCCCTGATGCCCAGCTTCAGCTGCATTGCAGGGCAGCCATGGCATCTGGAGGGGCCGCGGCCCCCGGGGGCGCTCGTTGTCTGTCCCAGCCCTGCGCGCTTGTCGGCCCGTGGGCTGGGGCTGCCCGCACCGGCTGCATGCGGTCTGCTCCCCAAAGCCCGGAAGCCAGAGGACCCCAAGGAGGAAGAGGCGGGAGGCTGCGGAGGAGACACGCGCTGCTCCAGGGGAAGTCAAGTGCCAGCCTGAGAGCGGGCTGGTGCGACTTGGTGTCCTGTCCCGGCAGGCAGGGGCTGGACCCAAAGGCCCTCACGGTCCCTTCCAGCTCGCCTGATTCAGTGATCCTACGAGCACATGCCGGAGGCGGAAACAGCTAGGCCCCAAGTGAGCAGCAGGGAACTGGGGGGTGGCGGCAGCCTCGCTAAAGTGGGGGTGCTGCCTCCAGACTCACCCAGAACAAGAGCCGTGTGGAAGAGGAAGGTGTGCAGGGGGGTGGCAGAGTAACGAACGTCCCCATCTTCAAGGGGGGGGGGTGAACCTGGGAACAACGGACCAGCTAGTCTGACATCGATCCCTGGAAGAATTCTGCAGCAAATTACTAAAAAATCATTCTGCAAGCACCTCAAAAACTGCAGTGATGAATAAAAGCCAACTTGGATTTATCAAAAATAAATCCTGTCAAACTAATTTAATCTTACTTCTCGACTGGGTAATCTCCCAAACGGGCAGAGGGAACACTGTGGACTTAAGCTGCCTCAGCTTTGGCAAAGCTTTCAACATGGTGCCCCCTGACATCCTGATAAGCAAATTGGCAAGACGTGGACTGGGCAGAACAACAGGAGGATCCAAAATTAGCTGCTAAATCAGACACACAGCTCACCCGTGGCTCCTTCCCAGAGGCAGGTAACGGGGGGGGGGGGGCGCAGGGTGCAGTCCAGGGCCCAGCCTCTTCAACATCTTTATTAAAGATTTAGATGAGGAAGTAAAGGAAAGATTTGCAGATGATACAAAACTGGGTGGAATAGCAAACGCCCCAGAAGACAGGAAGAAGAACCAGGGCAATCTGGATAATCTTGAATGCAGGGCTGAAAGCAAGGAATGAGTCAGGAGGGCAAGCCCCAAGTCCTCCACCCGGGAAAAGAACCCAGGTGCACCAGTACGAGGTGGGGAATACGTGGCTCGATGGAACTGAAAAAGACTTCAGAGTAATTGAGGACAAGGGCCAAATACGAGCCAACAATGCGATGCAGCTGCAAAAAAGGGTAAATGCTGTTTTGGGATGCATTAATATTAGTTCCCAAACCACAAGAAGTAGTAGTTCTCCTATGCTATGTTACGTGAGTCGCAAAGTCGTGCCCAACCCCTCACAACCCCACAGACAACATTCCTCCAGGCTCTCCTGTCCTCCACCATCTCCCAGAGCCCACCCAAGCTCACCCCCACCACCCCAGTGACTCCAGCCCGCCAGCACATCCTCTGCCGGTCCCTTTTGCCATCAATTGTTCCCAGCATGAGGCTCTGCTCCAGGGAGTCCTTCCTCATTAGGTGGCCAAAGTATTTGAGTTTCATCTTCAGGATCTGGCCTTATAAAGAGCAGTCAGGGTTGATCTCCTCTAGGACTGACTGCTTTGATCTTGATCTCAATTCTTCGGCACTCAGGCTTCCTTACGGTCCAGCTTTCACAGCCATACATTGCAACTGGGAAAACCATAGCCTTGACTATACGCACTTTTGTCGGCAGGGTGATGTCTCTGCTTTTTAGTCTGCTGTCTAGAATTGCCATAGCTTTCCTCCCCGGGAGCAAGCATCTTTTAATTTGTCGGCTGCAGTCCCCGTCTGCGGTGATCTTGGAGCCCAGGAAAATGAAATCTGTCACTACCTCCATTTCTTTCCCATCTATTTGCCAGGAAATGAGAGAACTGGATGCCATGATCTTAGTTTCCTTAATTCCTATACTCCTCACTAATCAGACCTCCCCTAAAATACTGTGTCCGGTTTTGGACACCAAGTTTAGGGAAGATGCAGAAAAATTAGAAAAGGTCCAGAGGAGGGCAGCAAAATATTCCCTGTGTTTGGAAACGCTGCCCTGTGAGGAGTCTGAGTGAATTGGGCATGTTCAGCCTTGAGAAGAGAAGACCGGGGGGGGGGGGGGGGGACACATGGCATCCCTCTGTAAGTCCAAACGGGGAGGTCAAGATCTCACTGGTCCCAGAGTGCAGGACTCAGACTAGCCAGCTCCTGCTGTGATGACTCGGGGTCCGGCTGAGGGCGCCAGGAGGGCCTGCACTGGCGAGGCCAGTTCTGGGGGGAAGAGCTGGCCTTGCAGAGCTGCCCTCCCCAGGGCTGCCGGCTGGTGCCTGTCCAGGGAGTGAGAGCGCCAGCAGGGCCCTGGACCAATCCTGCAAGCCTGGGGGTGGCTGCGCTGGTCCTGGTCGCCTGAGCACCCCCATGCAGGTGGCTACTCCCCCCAACAGCGCCTCTGCGTCGCCAGGGTGTGGGGTCCCTGTGCCGGGGAGGCCCAAAGCACTGAAAGCCTGCGACTGCAGGGCTGGGCCAAGCAAACAGCTGCAGCGTGGGAAGGGGGCAGGATGCAGGCCCAGGAGATAGGCAGGACGGGCCGCTTTAGGCCCAGCGAGAGCTTGGCTCCAGTGCCAACATCGGGCCTGTTATCTCAGCACCACAGGGGCCGAGGGGGGCTGGGGCCGGAGCTGGGCTGCTTCAGTGGGGAGCAGCAGGGCTGCGCTAGCCGAAGACGCTTGGTGACAGTACGGGAAGTGAGGAGGACCTTGGGATTGTGGCCGATCACAAGCGGAATGTGGGCCAACCGTGCGATGTTCCTGCAGAAAAGGGGGGTGCTCCGTTAGGCTTCCGGCGGCTTCCTGGAGCCCCTTCCCTGTCCCCGCTCTGGCTCGGGCTTGCACTGCCTTTGCAAGTTCCTTCCCTCAGCCCGGAAGGGACTTGCCCCGGCCTGCTTCCCGAGGCCAAGCTCTTGCACAAGAATCAGGTGCTGGGATGGGCGGGCACAAGCCAGGCGGCCCTGGCCAGCAAGCCCCCAGGCGGGCACGCTCCATCTCCTCTGTGGGAGTCCACCCTGCGGTCCTGGGCCAGGGCTTGCGTGACAGAGGCTGGGGCAGCTCCCTCCCACCAGTCAGGGCCACGTCGAGCTCGTGGGCTTACTTTCCGGTTAGGTCATATTTGGGTGGAAATGCGGTATATATTTTTAGCATTTTAACTTTGCTAGTTCATACAGTGTGGATAGTCTACCAATTCAATTGTATTTGTAACCCTTACGTATTTCCATTTATGCTTTAACTGTATACCTCTTAATATTGTGAGCCACCTTGAGTAAGAATACTCGTACACCGTCCTGGCTCCTCATACACCGGGGGGGCCACGGGTCCCTGCTCGGCCAGGGGACTCGCCGGGTGACTCAGGATCGGCCCCCGGCTCTCAGCCTCACCCGCCCCGCAGGTGTTGTGAGGATAAGGCAGAGGGGAGGGGATGCGTGGGCCACTGCAGGTTCCTCGTGGTAGGGAACGGAGGGGCAGAAGCACCACGCATGCCCAAGGCCACCAGCTGGACACGAGGCGCACAGTGGGCAGACAGCCTTTCTGCCAGCTGGGCTGCAGCCCGTCCGCTGCTTGGCGAAGGGGCCCCTGTGCCGGACAGCTCTCCGGCCACCTGGCGGAGCGCCCTGCTGCAGCCGCACCGTTTGGGGAGACCACCCCCAGGAGGCCGAGCGAAAGATGCGGCCCCGCCTGGCGCGTTCTCCCAGTGCGGCAGCTGGCTCCCTGAGGGCGAGCCAGGCTCGGTGCCCCCGGAGGCCACGCAAGGCAGCGAGCGCGCCAAGCCCTGGGCTCGGAACGACGGGGCACCTCAACCGAGGGCGGTGCTCCCCGGAGCTGCGCCAGTCGCCTTCCCCGCTCGGGAGGTGCTCCAGCCTCTCAGCCTTTCCTCAGAAGCACCAGTGTCCCCGGTCAGCGTGCGGAGCAGCGCAGGGTGACCTCTGCGAGACGGGGCGCCGTTGGCCGGGGCACGCTCGCTTCCCTTCTCAGGATGCGCCCCGACTTGCAAGGCAGGAGGCGATTTTGGACGACCCCCGAGAATGTTGTCTCTGAGCCTCGAGAGCAGGAGCGCCTGGTGCCAGATCAGACGCAGGGCCCATTGATCCCGGCACCCTCTCACGTGGCAGTGAGCCGGCTGCCCTGGGCCCCCTCCCGCAGGAGGGGGGGGGAGTTCTGCCTGCCCACGTTCCTCTGCAACCAGCGTGCGCAGGCGTGGCGCCTCTGAGCATGGGCCAGTGGCCTCCAGTAGCCGCCTCCTCCCGGAGTTCCTCTAATCCCCTTTAAATCGATCCCGATCGGGGGCCACCCCCACTTCCTGTGCCAGTGGATTCCACAGGAAAACTATGTTGTAAGAAGGCCTTCCTTGATCTGTCCCGAATCCCTTATCAGTTAGCTTCCGAGGATGACCCCTTCGAGCTCTGGTGCTATGGGGGGGGGGGCATTTTCCTCCCCCTCCACTTTCTCCTCACTGATGGACAGAGCCATGTTCTCCCTGGACGTGCCCACATGTGGGCTAGGAAGGAGGCCGTTCCGTGGCCCCAAAAGACGGCTCTGTGCCAGCGCCTGCTTCCACTCCTGCCAAATGTGATGACGGGGAGGCAGTTTTTCCTCGGGGCTCCGTTTTGCCTGCTCTGTGCACGGGGCCTTTGTCCTGCAGCACCGGGCGCGCCCCCGGGGCGCCTGACTGGCTGTTCCACGTGCCAGGACGAGGCCCCCCCGCTGTGGACGCCACCAGAACCACCTCCCTTCTGCCTCCCCTTAACCGTCTCTCTGTGCCGGACAATCCCCGTCACGGTGGCCTCCCCACAAAGCAAGCTGCTCCAGCGCCTTAGGCGTTTCATGTGCCCTTCCCTGCATGCTCTCCCACGCAGTCATGTCCTTTTTCAGGGGCACGGACTGCGGTCGAGCCCAGGATTTCATGTGTGGCCCCACCGAGGGTTTGTACAAGGGGAGGAAGTTCTCAGCAGTTCCATTTTCCGTTCCGTTCCTAATTCTGCCTCGCATGGGGCCCGCCTTTTGCACGGCGGCTGCGCACCAGGCCACGTCGCCACTCGGCTGCCCCTCACCAGCCCAGGATGCTGCCTTGCCTTGCCTTGACCGGTCCCTGCAAGCTCCAGTCCCATCGTCCTGCACCGGAAGGCGGAGTTTTCTGCCTTGCCAACGTGCACCGCTGCGCATGCGCTTGGGCCGCATTGCGTCTGTTCTCCCGGCCCGGGGGCAGCCGCTGGAGCTCCCCGTGATCCGTTCGGGTGCCAACCACCCCAAAAGGTTTCGGGTCAGCGGCAAACTTGGCCGCTCCACGGCTCAACTCCCCCTTCCAAGTAATTTATGAAAAGCGTTTCTCCCAGGACAGAACCCCTCCAGGGGCTGCAATGGCCATTTATTCCCGCTCTCGGGCACCTTTCCTTGAACCGGTTGCTGATTCACGAGGGGACCTCCCCCTGCCCCTCGTTCCACGACTGCCAGGCTTGTTCCGGCGTCGCAAGTGGGGGATGCTGCCAAAGCCTTTCGGAAGCCCCAGCGGCAGCCTCTGCAGGGCGCCCACCTGCTGCTTGCCGCTGCCAAGCTGCAGGGGCGAGGCAGGACCTCCCTTTGGGGAAGCGGGCGT